TAATAAATCGGTAAGCGCAGTCTCTATCGTGATGAGGTCGCCCTTGTCCGAAACCCTGACTTGTTCATCTCCATTCGAGGCCAGGGCCAGCAGCAACCTCGTGACGTGCTGAGAATTATTCCGCGGTACAACACGTACGGCGCAGTAGAGGGGGGAGAGTCGTGTGCATGAAGAGAGGAGGTTGTGTCCCGGAATGTCGTGTGAGTTCGGGTGCGAGTGGGCCTGGAATTGGGGTGCGCTATTCGACACGATTGGGTTCGATGATTGCCCAGGAGGGTGAAGGGGACACTTTCTGTAGAAATTAGGGAAACATCTTTACACGTGGGCATTCGGGCTCAGTACTTTTGAACGACACGCCTGACAAGTGTCCGCCACTGTGACGAAGCACTGCATTTCGTCAAAAGCCGTTTTCTAATTTGCAATTATTTAAAATCTCCGTTGAACCTCACTCCCCCCCTGTGCCAACAGATCGGTTTCTCTACGCAACCACTCCCATGCCTCCTCCTAAGTCTAAAAATTTCCACGCTGTAATTCTAGATCACAGAGCCGATTCTTCGGTTCCAGGCAGTTCCAGGCATGAGCGGCAACGCCCGTCCTCAACGCCCGTGCCTCGTCCCTGTAATCATGACTTCTGCCCTTTGCTTGCATCGCGACATATCAATTTATTTCTAAATATATATGCTGTGTATGTGTGTGGTCCAGTGCGCAGGTTTTCTCACCACCACTGCTACACTACCGGGTACAGCACAGGGCAGTGTGCCGTATTCCGTGGTGGTTCGTTGTCTGCCAGACCCTCAACAAGCGGTGAATGGCCGCAGCAGCGGTCGCGAGGGACGGCGAGCCTGGCGTCATCAAATAGCAGCAAAACTGCTGCGGAGCATGTCCCTACTAATCTGGTTAAAATTCTCATCATCACACACCCCTTTATTCCGAACGTTGCACTGTATCCTACGTGCAGCACTGCATACGGATGCTGTTTTGGTCTACTGTCTCGACGAGGCTGACTGCAGATCATACCATACTTGCTCATCATAATACTTCCGCGAAACCTATTTTTTTTTGACTGGTCAGGTATGGAACCGCAAGGCACCGCTCTGAATGCAAGACTACAGTGGAACCCTCCGCTTCGCTGCCCTTGCGAGCTGACCGCCCGTTGCATACAGTCTGTACGGCACGTGTCCACGGATGTGTCGACTACGGCCATCCCTCGATGCTGTTTAGGTGTTCACTCCCATGAGTGTTTTCGGGAATGTGACTGGCTCACACACATGTTTGTCGTTTTTGTAACCAGATCAGTTTTAATCAGATCTCGCGTGCCAAATCGGATCACCGAGGTCTGTCCCAAAAATACAAGACTGCACTCAATCATCGTTTGTAACCAACAAGGTTAGTCAGTATAGTGCTCATATCTCGTCAGGTCTGTTGGTGAGGGAGAGGGGAAGTGGAAAGTGGCAACAACTTATTGGCAAACGGAGAGGAAGAGGAAGGGGGCAACACCTCAATCAAGTGAGTGAAAGCACATGCGCCTTCATTTTTTTATAAAACTTCATAAAAATGACACCCGCATGATTTGCGCCATGAGCCTACGCGACGTACAAACTTGCCGTGGTGACTTCCTTCTTTATCAGTTCTGTCACTGAAGCTAACAATCCGACCTAGGGTTCCTCACATGTCACCCTTTTGTGTGAATTAATGACCACCCCCGTGGGCCTCGTCAGGTAGCAAGCTGAGGGAAACAACAACTTTCAATCTCGTAAAGTCTTCATCCTTAACAGAAATGTAACCTACGATTGTATCGTCGGGCATTGCTTGACAGGATGGCACTAAGATATCTAGCCTTCACATTCAAAAGAACTTTTTTGCACAAACTATATTTCTGTCTCTAATTATCTATCATCCGGGCACTTCTGATACGTTTGAAACTCCACATGCCGAAACCTTCCTGTCAACAACAAATTTCAATCAACTTCTAATGTAGAGGACATATTAACGGTTCCGTTTTCTGACGAGAATCCCTTTTTCTTGAGACAACTATCCTTGACAGGTGTTTTGTACTGACCTTCCAAGCGCTCATATGAGAAGTTCTTGTCTGCATAGAGATGTCGGCGTCTAGAGTACTTGGAAGCCTATTATCTGAGAAATGAACCCAACGGAAACGATGTAATCAGGCGGCAGCCCTTCTTTACTTCTATCGTAACACTTTTCATTGGACAGGCTCCTGAAAAGTGTTGACTCACTCCAAGACTAGGGACGCCGTTATTTCATGCAGACAGTCTTTCTGTATTACGTTTTAAGAGCATCCTTATCTGAAACCTAAATCTTGGATCCATGTCCAAAAATTGAGCCGTCTGTCTTTTGGTTAATTTTTCTGGCATCTCTAATCAAGGCACGACGTAGTCTCGGTTTGGCCGTCGTTCTCATATGAGGTTATTTCAATATTTCGAGACTTGCGCTTTCTCTATATACATGTAAAACATACCCTCACCATCATATTTTAAGCATGCCTTTCGGAAGGAAAGAGTTTAGTGAGGAATTCATGTCCTTTCTGGTCATTCATGGAAATGCCTGGCAAAGACGCTTTTTCAAGCGACGTTTAAGCATTTTGTTCTTATATCATCATAGCCGAAGGTCAGTTAAAAACGCGCCTGATCGTTTGAACTATATTTGAGTCTCGGTCTTTCAGTGTATTCAAAAACGCTATACTGTACCGATTATCTACAGAATGTCATTAGTGAGTTCACGCAAATGAAAATTCTGTCAGAGTTCTGCACAGCTTGTGTGTACACGTGTACAACGATTTTGCGCGCAGTGCAACTCCTCATATTCTTTGCGATGCACGCATCGCGAGTCCCAGACGTTTCCGCGGAAAGAAAAAGGAAACAAAAAGAAAGGTTTCTATTGCAATTCCTGAAAAATATTGAATACATTACAGTATTGGTGTGTGACTGTACAGTTGTGGAACCAACGGTCTCGAACCAGGCAGTATGGCAAGATGACAGGCATCGCAAGTGCAGCAAGATCCTAAATGCAATAAGTGAATGCGATGCATTAGTGCAGATGGCAAATACCTGAATGCAAAACGTGATGCATAAGAAGAGGGAATGCAAGTAAGAATGCACACGGGATGCCAACAGCGTTGGCATAGATAAGCGATAGCAAATGCAACCGTGAGCATAGCAAACTAGTATTAATAGAACGAACTCCTAGGCGATAGATAGGGGAGGCGACAGCAAGAGAATTAATCAACCTAAGGACAAGCAACCGTCCTTGAGCATTGCGCTCTTTACCGTGTTCGTAGAGTAGGTCACTGTCAAATACCATCCCCTGTCTAGTTACGTAGACACCCCAGCAATGACCGGATACAGTCCTTTTACAACAGTTGTGTTATGCTAAGTCGGCAGACTGTAAAGCTCGCAGCAGTCTGTACTACCGCGGCCTAATTAGGCAGACATTAGAGAGTTTACGAAGCACCAATTCTCGTAAAATTCTCGTACAATATAATGCTCGACCGACAGGTGTCCCTATCTATCGAGAATTGCCCCATGAAGGGAACAGAGATTTCGTCTGCAGAGGTGTGTTAACGAAATTAAAAAAAAGAGGAACTGGGGCACCCCGCCATATGCACCCAGAATAATACGTGTATTTGGCGCTACAACATACAGTGCGCGAAATTAGAATAAATACACCCATCGAGCACCACATAAACTACACTTCCTGAGCCCCTTTTTAAGAATCGCTTCGTGTACAGTACCACCGCAACGCGATAGAAACGTATGTATAGGCCAAATAGTGTATAAGGATACCGTTCTCGCGCTATTTCTATAAAACCGCGCGAAACTGGGATACATACGCGAAATACCATATAGCACAGTACATTGAAGGCGCCAAAAGAAGCGTCGATTGCGCTATATCTTGCTATAAACGTAAGCAACTGGACGTTTACCATTCTTCTCTGCAACTGGAGGCGCGAATTCAGCTGAATCCACAATTTCAATGCCCCGGGGCCCTGCTATTACCGATATCGAGCGCGGACAAATATCGGCACTCCACAACGAATGCATCTCCTTCAGACGCATTGCGGAGATGGTTCATCGCTCGGTCGGAGCAGTGCAGGGTGTACTGCGTCAA